AATCTGAAACAGGCTCCAGGCTCTGAGCTGTCAGCACAGAGCCCGACGCGGGGCTCGAACTCACGGACCGCGAGATCATGACCTGAGCCGAAGTCGGACGCCCAACCGACTGAGCCACCCAGGCGCCCCTATCCCTTAACTCTTAATACGTCAAAGGTTTATATTGTATCATATAATGCCGTAGCAAGCAAGAGCTGGTGACGGAAAGCGGACTACATCACCAGAAAATATGCCACTTTGGCATGGGGATTATTTTGAGCTGAAGGCAATCAAGACCCACCAGACTCAAGAAAAACATTTACCTCTCCCTTAACTACATAAACGAATTTAGATAGGGGGGGCTGGCTCTGAGAGAGAGCTATTACGAGAGCCAACCTCTATTTGAATAACCTATCTCTGTGAAAGGGCAAAACATCTAATTACAGTAGTGCTTCAACCCCCTGTCCTTGTCCATGCTTTTGCTTCTACCCGTGGTTAACTGCAGTCCCGAAACAGATGATCCTCCTTCTGAGGTATCATCGGGTCAACAGTAGCCTAATGCTATGCCATAACGCCTACATCATTTATCTCAGTTCATCTCATCACTTAGGCATTTTTGCATTCATTTCACACCATCCCAAGAAGAAGAGTGAGTACAGTATAAGGTATTTTGAAATACCCCATTATTATAGTACGTGTATTGTTACAGCTGTCCTATTTTGTTATTGCTGTTAATCTCTTACTGTGGCTAATTCATAAACTTTACCATAGATTATATAGGAAAAAACAGTTCATATAGGGTTCAGTACGCTCCATGGTTTTAGGCATCCACAGGGGGTCTTAGAATGTATCTCTTACGGGTAAGGGGGGTACTACTGTACCAAACATCTCTTCTTGTTATGCTGTGAATTACTCCCCTCCGCCTTTGAAGTCCCAGGCCCTGATCCCATTGCTTAACTCATGATGGCATATAAGCCTCAACTGCCCTACTTGCCCTTGGGTCTCACATTTCTATGGGGCTCCTATACCTATGAAATTAAATTTGTCTTTTGGGGGACACCTGGGTAGCTCAGTTGGTTCAGAGCCCAACTCTTGATTTCGGCTCAGGTCATGATCTCACAGTTTGTGAGTTCGAGCCTCACGTCAGGCTCTGCACTGACAGCAAGGAGCCTGCTTGGGATTCTCTCTCTCCATCTTTCTCTGCAACCCCCCCAACCCCCGCCGCTCAGGCTCTTTCTCTCTCTCTCCAAATAAATAAACCTTAAAAAAAAAAGAAAAAATGGATTTGTTTTATTGTTAATCTGTTTAATGTCGATTTAATTACTAAAGCAGCCAAAGAACCTAGAAGAGTAGAAGGAACATTTTTCCTCCACAACAGTTAGCTTATTCAGCAGGCTAATCTTTAACTGGCCGGTAAGAATTCTTAGCATGTCAGTCTCTTGGATCTCTGCCTGCAGGATCTGATGAGAGCAAGAGTGGGGAGAGTCCTTTTCTTTTTCTAAATTTAGATTGGGAGGAGAAAATATTTATGGAACTAGCTCCTTGGGTATAGTACCTTTGGTAAAGATTTGGTATTAGTGCTTGTGTTTTTTGGTGATCCTTTTCCTGTTCCCCTTTGTCATTTTCCAGGCCTTGAGAGTTTGGCTTTATGACCAGTGAGAATGTTCTGCTAACCAGTGTGCATTTGGCAGACGGACAAGCAGGCTGTGGCTCTGAGCTGACCGTAGTCAGGACTGGGTCCAACTTACAAACCAAAACTTGGGCTCAACTAGGTCTACAGTGAGGTTTCTTTGTCTGACCCTGCCAGCTCTCAGGGGAATTTTGTCAGAAGGGGTCCCAGTCCATAAGGGGCCGTTTGTCACCTCAACCTTCATTGTCTCACTATGATGATAAAGGTCTTTGTTTTCTTATGCTGGATCTTGTGAGGGCTGCATCTTTTGCACTCTCCTCTGGAATATCTCTTGTGTCTGTGGTTAAGCCTAGAGAAACGTACTGGTTTGAGTCACTATTCAGATTAATAGGTCCTGCTTATCAATGGCCAGACAATGGATCTTTTGAATCGGACTCCTAGATTGACATTTTTTTTTTTTTTAGAGACCACTCGTCCTATTGATATCTGTGGAAAAACTAAACTAAAAATGGGACACAGGGGCGCCTGGGTGGCTCAGTCGGTTAAGCGGCCAACTTCGGCTCAGGTCACGATCTCACAGTTCGTGAGTTCAAGCCCCGCGTCGGGCTCTGTGCTGACAGCTCAGAGCCTGAAGCCTGTTTCAGATTCTGTGTCTCCCTCTCTCTGACCCTCCCCCGTTCATGCTCTGTCTCTCTCTGTCTCAAAAATAAATAAACGTTTAAAAAAAAAAATGGGACACAAAGAAATATAATGGCTAGCCTTAGGGACTCCCCTTAACGAGATGAAGGAACATAAATCAAAACAAACATTAAAGTCAACATCCAGTGTAAATTCCCCTTTTCAAAATCCAGCTCCGTCTGCCTATCTTAGCTTCGCTTTTCCTGTAACATTTACAGAGAGCACTCTGGCCTGATCTCCAGTCCCAGGGTATACAGGTGACCTGTATAAATGCTGAAAGCTAGGAAGTGATTTTAGCAGAAGCACCCAAGAAGGGTGGTGGGGCTCACTTGGCTATCCCTTATAACTCCTCCTACTTTCCAGGGCTTCAGGTATTCCTATAGGATGTCCTTTTCAGGTATATCCTGGACCCCCGCCACAAAGAATTCATGTCCCATGAACAGAAGCACATCTTTGAAGTTATAAAGCCTCTTCACCTCCACTTTATGAGGATCATACCATTTTAGAGAGGAGCTGGAAAGATTCATGGCCATTCACCCTCCCACTCACGAGGACCTTATTAGATCCCAAGGGGTGTTCTTCCTACCCATAGGTATCTTGCAGTTAAAAGACAAATCCCATGGCTCCCTGAGAAAACCACACCCCTCACCCCAGAGGAAATAGATGGCCAGAATTTCTCTTAGGCCTTCCTACAAATGATCAGCTGAAGGCCAATGCTCAGGGGCTGACAGAAGCCACAGGAGAGGCTTCTCCCCCCGCCACCTGGCAACAAAGGTGAATCAGTCCAAGGTTAAACTGTACACTCAGAAAGAAGGCCTCTGCTTAAAAGTTTTATACAGACTTTACAAAGGCCCTATGCAACTTCTTCAACATCAACTCGAATGCCCTTACATCTATCCTTGAAGCAGGGTTCCCGTATGGACCCCTCCCGGAGTTGATGGGTCATCAATATTGCATTAAGATCGTATAGAATACACATTAAAGGATGTATTATTTTGAGGGTGCGACTAAAAACTCACCATACCCACTTTAAACTATGCATTGACTAAGGATAAGATACAATTTAGGACATGATTTTCTCAATGTCAGTTCCACAGTCTCCAGGTGTCTTATGCCAGTGACAAAAATGAGTAACAGAACCCGTATGTGTTCTTTCTGATTCCACACCATCTCTCGGTTAATTGAGTTCTGCCTTTCTACCTGTTTTTTCTTCATAGCCCTTAGTAATTATATGATACAGTTGGCTTCTTCATTGCTTCTCTCTAGTCAATATGAGAACAAAATATCAATTCTGTAAGGACAGGGATTTTTACTGCTATATGTCGAAAGCCTGAAAAAGTCTGACACATATTAGGTGCTTTATAAAGATTTGATGAATGAAAGAGAACAATGATATCAATATGATAGGGGAGATAACAGTCTAACAGGGACTCTATTATAATGGTACAATATAGGGGCGCCTGGGTGGCGCAGTCGGTTAAGCGTCCGACTTCAGCCAGGTCACGATCTCGCGGTCCGTGAGTTCGAGCCCCGCGTCGGGCTCTGGGCTGATGGCTCAGAGCCTGGAGCCTGTTTCCGATTCTGTGTCTCCCTGTCTCTCTGCCCCTCCCCCGTTCATGCTCTGTCTCTCTCTCTGTCCCAAAAATAAATAAAAAACGTTGAAAAAAAAATTTTTTTTAAAAAAATAAAAATAAAAAAATAATGGTACAATATAAAAATATGAATGATTGATAGATGCCAGTATCTGTCTGTATCTACATCTATACATGTATTTACATAGCTATATATCTAAAAGAGCGATGCTGAGTTAATTTCCTTCACCTTTCGACAATTGTTAGTAACTTCTGTTGATAAAGCTAGTATAATGTCAAACACGATAACATCTTGCGCCAATCTCAAGGCTTTTTAGCTTATCTTGTTATTTAATTTGAATATGTCTTTCTTATCATAAGTCACTTTAAGTCAGAAGTGGAAGTGAATGACATATGCTTTTACCCATGATGACATATTAATCGGAAAAATACTCATCAGGCACTAGACACTCAAAAACAAGTGTACTCTTTTTTTTTTTAATTTTTTTTTTTAACGTTTATT